AGGAGGCACAAGCACTCTGGCAGGCTGAGGCACGATGATCAGAAGTTTGAACCCTGGTCAGCTCACTGATTTAGTGAGACCTTGCCTCAGGATAAAAGTAAAAAAAGAAAGGACCAGGAATAGAACTCAGTATAAAGGTCTTGGGCTCAATCCCTCGCACCATGGAAAAAGAAAAAAAAGAAGAAAGAAAAAAAAGAAGAAAAGAAACAGAAAAGAAATCAGTGCTGGCAAGAACAAAAGGAAACACAGTGAGCAGAAATGTGTTTTGGGAGGAATCTAAAGTTATTAAATTAAAAGCACATCCATGTTGGCACAGCAAATCCACTTTGGGGCACTAACCTATAAAAAGATCACAAACACATAAGACTTATAAGTATAAGGATATTTACTTCAGCATTGTGCACAGTGTCAAAAGCAGAAAACAAAACCCAAGAAAAACCAGAATAACGGCTTACGTAGGAAGCTGAAAACTTAACGTCCACTATGAGACTTGTGTTTCCATTACTAGAGTACCATTCACAATAGGCAAGTTAAGGAGCCTTCCCAGTGGCCAATCAGCAGACAAATGCATACAGAAAATGTGCCAGATATACACAGTGGAATGTGATTTGTCAATAAAGAAGAATGAGATCATGTCCTTTGCAGAAAACTGGATAGACCTGGAGGATAGAAATGTAGCTTTGAAGAGCATCCGTTCCTGATCCCTTGCTCAGTGAAATCAGCACTTGGCAAAGTAGGACGTACAGTGGACTCTGAGCCTCTGCGTCTGAACAAGCCTTCTGGAGATGCAGGGTGCACGGACTCAGATGATCAGGGCATTACTCCAGCGAGAGGGGGAAGTGGGAGAAGGAGTCTGAAGTTTTCTTTGATTTCACTGCATTGTTTCTTATGCTGGTAATGAAGAAACAGAATAGAGCAGCCGGCACATGGAAGCGGGCGTGATGCTTGCAGACTGGGAAACTAAGCTTCTTGGGAAATAAAGAACTAGAGGGGTTTGGTTTGGACAAAAATAGGTCTCCACGAGGAACACTTATTTTCAATTCCTCAAAGGACTGCTGAGTCCAAAGGAATTGCACTTGTTCTCCTGCTTTTCGGAGGCGGAGGTAGGAGCCGTGAGTGAACACTGCAAGGGACATTTCAGTTTATTGTGAGGAGTGACTCACTGAGGGTCCCAGTGAGCTGCACTTGGGAGGGGATGGTGAGGACCCTGCCTTCTTTGGATTCCCGGTTGCCCGCTAGCCCCGCCCCAGACACCCGTGCCTAGGTTCAGGCCTCAGCGGTACCTTGGGCAATGTCGTCCTGCCTCTGCAGGCAAGGCCGCTCCACCTTGTGCCCCGGCTGGTGTGGCTCTCGCTCAGGCTGCTTATGGCACCTCCCTTCATTGAACACATGGGGCAAGTTGGCTGTGTGCACCTGTCGGAGTTGTTCATAGTCGCTCAGAGCAGCTGTTAAGTCCCAGTTTTTGCCTATGGGTAAGAAATGACAAGAGATTACAATGTTAACATGAATAATGGTTTTACACAGAAAACATCTGTGGCAAGAAGGAGTGCACATTAATGTATCCGTGACCTTTCTGCCAGTAGTTGTGGGCTAACAAAGGGGTAATCACATCTGTACATCGCTGGGGGTAGAATTTCACACCCACAGCTGATGATCTTCTGAAACATGTGACTACATCTAGTCTCATAGGCTTTATTCCTTCACACGTCAGATCACATGCAAACATTATGCTACTGATTATCATGTCCTCCCTTCAAAATGAGATTGTAAAGCTTCCTTTATAAACGGGAGGATGGAGGAAGAAAAATCCTCATGGAACAGCATTGGTTCAGGACACTTAAAATGGTCAGGAAGCTTTGTCAAATAAGATTTCTAGCATATCCATGGCTGAACTTTTGAACTAAGCTGTCTGCCCACACACACCCACAGACATGCCAACCTTGGAAAGGGGACAGAATCACAGCTTTCTGGAGGGAAATTAATTAGCCTTTGTGAGTTTGTGAACTTCCCGTGATCCCACTCTGTTTCTCCCAAACTTCCCAGATATGGAGGTGTGCCCATCCTCTTACAAACTCTTGATATTCATAATTCCTAACAAATCATAATCATAATTCTTGCCCAAACCACCATCTTGTAAAATGCCAGAGCACATTTCCAAGGCTGCCTGAATATGGTGGTAGCTTGAGTGTCCAATCCAATGCAGTAATGTTGAGAAGTGGGGCTTAGAGAGATGACTGAATCATGTGGGCGCTAACCGAACCAATGGATTAATCAATCCACAGATGAGTTCACAGCTGGATGGGCAGTTGGGAAATGGAGCTCAGCTGGAGGAAGTAGTTCACTGGGGTTGTGCGTTTGAAGGGTTGATGTTGCCCACAGCCTCTTTCTCTCGAGCTCTTTCTCTTTCTCTCTGCTTCCCTGTTGTCTGTGGTAAGCAACTGTGCTCCACCACAACCCTCTGCCATGTTCTGCCTCACCCCAGGCCCACAGCAATGGAACCCACTGACCATGGACTGAAACCTTGGAGACCATAAGCCACAGTAAGCCCTTCCTCCTTTACGCTGTGTTTTCACAGGTGATTGGTCACAGTAGTGAAAAGCTGACTAACACAAGAGCTTTCCCAGAGCCCCCTGTGCAGGCTGTCACCATGAAAACTTTCAGGCTCAAGTCAAAGGAAGAGGAGAAGAGAAGAGTCACCAGGAATGTGCTCAGGGGGCCGCACGGCAGCCCTGTGTTGCAGATTGGAGGTGTCTTGTCACTGCGTGCATGTTAGATAGCCAGCTGAGACATCGCTGGGAAGACACGTCCAACCATCAGCGAAGGTCCCCTCATCTGTTTTCCGCCCCAGGGGCCTCTCTCTCTGCTGATCTGCTGACTTTCCCAGGACTCTTCTGGGTGGCTCGATCACCAGCTTGGACTCACAGATACTTTGCTCTGTGTCTGTCCTTTATTCCTAACCAGGGAGCATCCTGGTTCTCACTTGGCAGCTGAGTTCAGTCCATGTTAGGTGAGATGAAGACTGAAGATGGAGGTAAGGAGGCAGCAGCACTGCCGACGACAGCCTAGTTCCCACTGCTCCACTCTGAGGTTTTATTTTTGTTTTTTTTTTGTTGTTGTTGTTGTTGTTTTTTTTTGGTTTTTCTCCGGTACCGGGAATCGAACTTACGACCTTGCGCTTGCCAGGCAGGCACTTTGCCGCTAAGCTAAATCCCCAGCCCCCACTCTGAGGTTTTAAAGACTATCTCAAGGACTCGGCACGTTAGTGCTGTTGCCAGTGTCCAAGAAAGAGAACGAGAAGGAAACAGGACAGACACAGGCACCTTCACCAGGTATTTGGGAGCCAGAGCCCAAGCCCACTATGCTAGGTATGCTACTCTGCATAATTCCACGGCCAGTAGCACGGATGCATGGACTGGGGATGCCTGTGTGACTGGCTAGGCACCGCTGGGATGGGCTGTATCTACACACAGGAAACCTCGAGGATAAGGACAGGGGTGGGTGGATCCTTGTGAGATACAATAGGTGGGGGTGTTGATGCCACGTGGGCCTATTATTGGTGGCACTGTTGGTAGTAGAGGCGGTGGAGCGGTAGACAGTGGAAATGACAGATTTGTTTTAGGTGAACTAAGATGAAGATTAGAAAAAATACACGTTCACTCTTACACATTACTAGCACTCACAGGATAGAAATCGGCAGATGCCTGTGTGATTGGCTTGGCACTGCTGGGATGGGCTGTATCTATACACAGGAAAACATGGATTTTTGGCTTATTTATTACCATTATTATCGTTCATTGCACATTTTGGCTTATGTATAACTTCAGTTGCTTGGACCAAAATTTCTAGTGCCATTTATTGTTGAAAATGTTTATGTTTTAAACTTCTAATTCATGTATTTCTTGTTGCTTATGATGGGTAGATTTCAAGTTAAAGTTAACATATGTGTTCTGACACCTGGAGAGAGTGTAGTGTTTTGATGTAGCACAAAAGGATCACAGGTATTACAGAAAACTACAAAAAGACACATGAACTCACAGGACGATGTGACACAGAAAGTGACTGAATTCAGGAGAGAGGAGTCAGAATTGCTTCGAAAATGAAGTTACACTATAAGCACAGACCATACACACAGCTTGGTAAGCACCACAAAAGTACAAAAAAGTAAAGTACACAACTTTAATTAGAAAACAAACTTTGTTGAAATAAATTATTTGGTTCTACATACTGAAAGAACACCCTTTATATAAGGAAACTGTCCTCATGTAGCCAAAATCAACATTTATCTTTGTAAAATTATTGTGTTACAAAGAAAAAGAATATATAAGAGCAAAGGAAAGAAAATCAGTTTGACAACATTCTTCTTGGAAGAAACATTCACAGCCAATACTGAAAAAAGAAAGGTATGAGCTAAGGAATTTTATAACTGTTACAGTTTGGATGTGGCTTGTTGTCAACTTGACACCCGAACACATCTCCTTAAATCACACTTAATCTGCAAATAAAGATATTAGTAAGTTCATAATTTTGCTTAACACAAAACAACTATCCTGTGTATCAATATCCCCAAATCTCAACAGTTCCAGCATTTTGTAAAAGTCCAACTCCAAGTGTCTTCTGAGACTCAAGGCAAACTCTTCACTGTGAACCTCTGTGAAACAAAAAGAATTATGCAACCCTGAAGTGTGATGGCACAGGGTAAATGACCCCATTCTAAAGATAAGAATGGAGCATACAACAGAACCAACCACAGCAATACAGAAGGCCACCAGCACAAACATTAAATCCTGTAGCTCCATGTTCAGCAACCAGAGTACACAGTAGTAAATTATGAGCTTCGAAGGGCTTCAGTGGCCCTACCCCTACTGCCCAGCCAATTGCAGCCCTCAAGTCCTCTCTTGGGCTGGCTCCACTAACAGTCTGCAGCTTTTCTCAGTCGAGGTTCCACGTTTCTGGCATCTTTGACTTCCTAGCGTCTTCACTGTGTCTGTCACTTCATCCCCACAGTTTCATATACTTTTCTCTGAGGGGCTCCTTGCCTGACCTTTCAGGCCCCACAACTCTTGTACTTCTAAATGACAGTAAAATCAGCATCACATGGACAGTACCAAAGTCTTCTGTGAGCAGAAGCACTATCCAGCCCCCCTTGGACCATGACTACAATGTCTTCTGATGGCTGGGCATAGTGAAATGAATCCCAGGAGCCAATTCCCCAGGAGACCCTTCTCAAGAGAGTTCCATATACTCTTTTCTCAGATAAAAGGCTGACACTGTTACACCTTTGAACCTGCCATGGGTGAGGTCTTTCTGACTCTTGAGATGCCTGCAAGACATCTTTTCTTCTTGCCCTTGTACAAAGTAGAACGGACCCTCAAGTTACCACCAGCCTGACATACAAACAACTTGGGTTATGCCCAGAATTTTAGTTTTAACTTATGACCATAGTCTTGAATTATGACCTTAATGCTCACTGTTTGTGCTTCCAGGTGGTCTTAGATATAGATTCATCCCTTAAAGAGTTCTGGAAGGAACATTACAACATCCTTTCCTGTATGGGGTTAAGTCAGAAATCCTGGGCCAGTGTCTCTCTAAGGACACTGAGATCTGCCTGTACACAGAAGAGAGACTTTGAAGGTTGTGTAGAGAAGCCTGAGCCTTCAACTGACAACTTGCAACCAGCCCTCAGGAATGAATTGAGTTTGTAAGTCAAGTGTCCCCCGTATTTGGTTTCTTTTTAATGGTGCTAATTTTTTTAAGCAGCTATACCTCTCCTGGCTTCAATTTCATACATGGTTCTTTCTGGGGTAAAATTTAAGTTTTAAAAAAATTTTGGTTCTGGTTTTTGTTCCTGATTCTCACTATACATTAGGCTAACAGCATCAGCAGAACCAATGTTACAGTCTGATTACTGGGCTATCTTGTAATTTCCTCTGCCAGATTTATTAGTCAAAACACCCTTAATCTCAGTCTACTATCTCAAGACATGGACATAATGTAGATAAACTTTTTTATGCCTTCTAGTCCAACTTCCAGCTGAAACCTCCTGAGTTAGGCTTTAGCTCACCTCATTTCTATCAGTATCCTGGTCTTCTGAGCTCTGACCAGAATCATCCATAGAGGTGTGTTTAAAGCATTCTAGAGATTCTCTAGTCTGCATTTCCAAAACTCTCACACAAACCAGTTCCAAAATTTCTAAACTACATGGTCACATATGGTCATAATAACAACCCCATTCTCACTAGCCATTTTTTGTATTAGTTTTCCTATTTCTTTTTTTTTCTTTTTGGTACTGTGAATTGAACTCAGGGCCTAGTGCTTGCCAGGCAGGCGCTTATGCCACTGAGCTATATCCCCGGCCCAATTTTCCTATTTCTGACACATTAGACTGGACACAATTTACAGTAGAAAAGGTTTAAGTTTTGAAGAGATTCAGTCCATGCTCCAAGACTGTAACACTGTGACAGAAGGG